TCGGAGCAATGGACGCTACTAGGGGCTCCTGGCCCTACTACTAGGAGGAAAGGACGCTACTAGGGGCTCCTGGCCCTACTACTAGGAGCAATGGACGCTACTAGGGGCTCCTGGCCCTACTACTCGGAGCAATGGACGCTACTAGGGGCTCCTGGCCCTACTACTAGGAGCAAAGGACGCTACTAGGGGCTCCTGGCCCTACTACTAGGAGCAATGGACGAAACTAGGGGCTCCTTCCTGGCCCTACTACTAGGAGCAAAGGACGCTACTAGCGGCTCCTGGCCCTACTACTCGGAGCAATGGACGCTACTAGGGGCTCCTGGCCCTACTACTAGGAGCAATGGACGCTACTAGGGGCTCCTAGCCCTACTACTAGGAGCAATGGACGCTACTAGGGGCTCCTGGCCCTACTACTAGGAGCAATGGACGCTACTAGGGGCTCCTGACCCTACTACTCGGAGCAATGGACGCTACTAGGGGCTCCTGGCCCTACTACTAGGAGCAATGGCCGCTACTAGGGGCTCCTGGCTCTACTACTAGGAGCAATGGACGCTACTAGGGGCTCCTGGCCCTACTACTAGGAGCAATGGACGCTACTAGGGTTAGAGCCGGATTCGGAAACTAATCGGTCGGATTCTGAAACTAGGGTTCTGAAACTGGGGTTCTGAAGCTAAGATTCTGAAACTTGTATTCTGAAACTGGAAAGTCAAGATTCTGCGACTTGCCTTCTGAAACTTGCAACTGGTGATCTCCACATCATGCGATAGCGTGTGTGCCTGTGACCTCACCTTCGTAGCACATCCAAACCAACGTCATTAGCCCCCCACCCAACCCCCCCACCCCCCAACCCCCCCTTGTCCCCATCGCGTGATCTCGACATCCCTCATCATTCACAATGTTGAGGAATCCGAGTTGCGGAACGCCAGTTGCGGAATCCCACTTGCAGAATCCTAGTTGCGGAATCCTAGTTGCGGAATCCCAGTTGCGGAATCCGACCAAACAGTTGCGGAATCCCAGTTCCGACCAAACAGTTGCGGAATCCCAGTTCCGGAATCCGACCAAACAGTTGCGGAATCCCAGTTGCGGAATCCGACGCGGAATCCTAGTTGCGGAATCCTGCGCAGTTGCGGAACTCGACTTTATAAACGCTACTAGGGCTCCTGGCCCTACTAGGAGCAATGGACGCTACTAGGTTAATTTAACAAATGTCCGGTCCAAGTCTCCTCGGATCCGAGGGGAACTCATCGGTGTCCCATCCCAGGTAAGGCTGTCCAGCGTTGCAATCAATGGATCCCAACATCCCAAGGGCCGAGGCCATGCGAAGGTCATGCTCATAGTCGTGGCCTTCGGGAATCAAACGATACGAAGGCCATGCCGCTTTTCTGAGACACCGTTTCTATTTTTCTGTGTGGTGTTTTCTTCGTTTAGGAGTACGATGGGTTTGCTCTGAGCTACAAACCGGCCAGCGTTGTGTGGTTGGGCTCGATGTTGACCTTGAAATCATTCTCCAGGCCATGCCTGGGTAGGTTGGAGACCGTCGCTTCTAGTAACAAGTGCATCGCTTCCAGTAGCAAGTGCCTTACTACTAGCAACAAGAAGCTATTAGTAACAAGTGCATCGCTTCTAGAAACAAGTGCCTTACTAGTAGTAACAAGAAGCTATTAGTAACAAGAAGCCTTCTTGAAGTCCTTAAAATCTGTTTTAATCCATTGCTACTAGTAGTAACAAAAAGCTACTAGGAACAAGTGCCTCGCTAGTAGTACCAAGTGCCTTACTAGTAGTAACAAGAAGCTAATCCATTGCTACTAGGTTGGAGGCCGTCGCTTGTTGGCTGGAGGCCATCGCTAGTAACAAGGGCATCGCTACTAGGAGCAAGGACGCTACTAGGGGCTCCTGGCCATACTACTAGGAGCAATGTTTGCTACTAGTAGCAAGGACGCAATTAGGTGGAGGCCATCGCTCTTAGGTCGGAGGCCATTGCTACTCAATCGAGCACAAGCGAATTCGAGCCTCTCAGGACCTCCTTGGTAGGACCTCTTTACGGTCCTTTATCTCTTCTTTGCCTTACGACTAGCGATGGCCTCCAGCCTACTTGATCTCTTCTCTTGCAGCCTTACTTCTTTTGCGAAAAGAAGTGAAACAACAAAAAAGTGGGTTTACTTCTGATGCTCCTCCAAATTGCTGGTACAGAAAACCAATCACAGTCTGTGCATCATAGTCATATTGGTGCGCTGTGGGCTCACGAGCTTTGGGCTCAATGGTAAATTGTGCTGTAAAACCGATCTTCTTTTTGTAGGCCACCGCCATTTTCAGAAAGCTCGCCATGTGGTCCAACTCACTCTTCACCTTGAAACCGCTTGGCCGGGAGCGCCCCTAGTAGCGTCTTTCCTCCTAAAGTTTTTTCACCCGGTCACCTTGGAAACCTTAAGTTGTTTGGGTGATCTTGCTTAACAACTTGGTGACCTTGGTGTTGAGCGCGGTAGCAAAGCCTTCGCGGCCACCCCAGAAGACGTGTGTCTCTGCATTCAACTTCTTCCCAACATCCAGCATCTTCTTAGTTTGCGCCTGAGAGTACGTGCGTCGACTCGTTGTTGCTGTTTCGATAGAAAAAAACTGCAAGAAAATAGAAGAAAGAGAATAGAAGCAAGGTGTTTCTTCTTTTCCTTCTAGGTTTGGAGGCCATCGCTATTAAGTTGGAGGCCATTGCTATTGGGTTTTGTTTTGTCTTTTTCTTTCTTGCTATTGTCTACCTGTCCAATTAAAATCTTTTGCTCTTTTGGAGTCGCTTCATATCGCTTCCGGGTCACACAGCCAAATGCAAAGGAGTCAAAATTCGGGCTTGTTGCAGCCCCATCCTTGTACCGAGGATGGGAAAAAAGATTCTGAGTTGACCATAACCTCGGTGTAAGCATCTTGTGTCTCATTCTGCAAAGAGGCTGAAAAGCTGTTTCGATACCAAAAAAACGGACAGCCACATCTGGCTGTTCACAGCATGTCACAGCTTGACAAGTCACAGCTTGACGCCAGTTTCTTTTTGTTTCGACAAGAGCTTGTCCGAGATGGTGTCGAGGTTGGATTGAAACTCCGTCAAAGACTCACCCTGTGGGGCAACGTCGACATCATGAAAGCAATAGTAGTCGACCCCAAGCCTGAAATGGCCAATTCGAAGAGTGAAGCAAGGGCATTGTTAAAATGCTGGAGTAATTTGCGTCCTTGTTACTAGTAGCTTCTTGTCACTAGTAGTAAGGCCAGGAGCTACTAGCAGCGTCCTTGCTCCTAGTAGCGATGCCCTTTGTTACTACTAGCTTCTTGTTACTAGTAGTAAGGCCAGGAGCTACTAGTAGTGTCCTTGCTCCTATTCGAATCTACAACTCCGCTTTAGAAATGTGAAGAAAAGGCAAAAAGAAAGGAAAATGAATGGCAAAAGGAAAAAAATAGGCTTCTTTTTTGGGGGCAAGCAGCTACTAGAGGCTCCTGTTATCGCTACTAGGAACAATAAGCTACTAGGGGCTACTGGCCTTACTACTGGGAGCAAGTAGCTACTAGGAGCAAGTAGCTATCAGACTTCGTTTCTCTTCTCTCACTATTCGTTCTTTTCCGTGCTTCGTGAAGAACTCGAAGGCCACATCCACTCGGGTGAGGAAGGTCTCCATCGAGCTATCTTTATCCCAAGGTCTTAAATGAGTCTTCACATTGCTGAAAGGGTCTGTTCCCATCTGCCCATTGAAGGTATGCCACCAGCACACTGCAAATCTGCACCAATCCCTGTGCAAAAAGTGCGCAAAAAAAGTGCAAGTAAGTGTAAAGAAGCACTGGAATCTGGTGCGTCACAAAGCACTAGAGTTGCTTCTGCCGTTTTGTAACTCATCACGGGGCCGTTTCACGGCCGTTTCACGCCGTTGCACGCCGTTATTTCACGCTGCTCTTTGCCTCATCTTCTTTCCCATGATGACTTCATCAGGCTGGTAGTACTTGAAGGCCAAGGGATTCGTGCTCTGAGGCCCTTCAAATTGGATCTTCGAGATGGAAGGGAAGAACTCGGTCCTCGCTTTCTTGGACATGGCGCTGGCGGCGCCGCCAACGCGCCCGGCGCTCAAACTGGGGCCTTTTCGTGCTGCTTGAGCCCACCGCTCCGACGCGTTCCGATCTGCAAGATCAACAAAACCGTAGCTTCTTGCCCCTAGTAGCGTCCTTGCTCCTGGTAGCAATGCCCTTTGCTAGTAGCGTCCTTGCTCCTGGTAGCAATGCCCTTTGCTCCTAGTAGCGTCCTTGCTCCTGGTAGCAATGCCCGTTCAATGCCCTTTGCTCCTAGTAGCGTCCTTGCTCCTGGTAGCAATGCCCTTT